AACATTACCCAGGTGGGATTGCAGAAGGCCCCCCCGGCCTTTGCAAGGAGGTGCTGCAATGACCCTAAGGAGTCAGGACCCTTTATAAGGCTAACAGTGCAGCCCAGAGAGGATGGGATACTGCAGTATCCATTGTCCCGCAGTTATGATAGATTTGTATGTTGTCTACTCTTCTGACAACCCTTTACAGCTCCCATTACACACAGCACATGCACCCTGCCTTTCACACAATACTGGCATGTTACCAGCCGTGAAACCTGTCAGAATGCTTTACCTGGAGGTGGTGCATAAGGGTATCCCATGGGTTGTGGAGCTGGTCCATATCCATTCATTGGTGGGGGCACATAAGGGTAAGGTCCATTAGCTGGTGGGGGGGCATAGCCCCCTGGTGCAGGTGAATAGCCTCCTGGAGCGGGGGTGTACCCTCCAAAGGCAGGCATATAGCCATAACCAGTATTCTTGGCAGGAGCCCCTCTGGAAGCTAAAAAGAATAAGTTTAGCAAGTTTGATTCAACAAATCACCATGCAATTAAAATGGAGCAGCAACGAGAAAGAACTGTCACATTAATTTAGTCTGATCTGTCATTGCAACAGAGTGATGAGCCACCAGGTCCTGGCATGAAGGCTTTGCCTGAAACCCACCTAGCAATAATCGCTTCTTATCCCAAATTCACACACTGCGGCAGTATCTGTGCCAGTCTGGACACTGGGCATGACCCTAAGCTGGGAAGAGCTTGGATTAATCCTGCTCTGTAACATCTACGTAGACACCAGCCACTAAAGATGGCCAAACCCCCTCCACTGAAGAACGCGGTTCCATAAAAATCAAACCAAACACAAAAGTGAAAACTCCCATACATTTAACAAGTTTTTCTAATTCCTGGTCAGGAAAATCTATACAAGAAGTTTGTTTCCAACCAATATTAATTGTTTTGCTTAGATTGAGCATCAATTTTAGGAAGCCAAAAAAGAACGCTTACATTTTCCTCCCTCCACTGCATTCTTAACATGCTTTCTCCCCTTTGGGAAAATGGGGATGGGTGAACTAAGTGTGAGAGTTTAGCGTCCCAAACCCCACGGCAATTGCATGTTTCTTTATTTCTTCCAGTTGGAAGACAAAGGGAAAAAGATTTTTTTAAACGGAAGAAGGGGGGAGTCATTCCAAGAACTGGGAAAATTAAGTTTTTCATTTCCCCAAAACTAAAGGATTAAAACCAACGACAGGGTTTAGAATCAAAACAAGAGTTTTCATGAAAAATTCAACAGTTTTTGACTGAGAAATTTCCCCTTCTCACAGAGTTTACTGCAGCAAAAAAGTTAGTTTTCCAGACATCACTACTAGCTAAAGAATATTCAAGCTTAAATACTCACCATTAGTGGCAACTGTGAACATCAACTGTCCAAACTCAATGGCTCCTCCACTGTTGAACGACATTTTAAAGGAAGCCTGCCCTTCCCAGCCACCTAAAAGAGAAAGTGAAATTTTAAAATGAAACCACTGTAGAACTACATTTTCTGCTGGCAGGCTAAAAGAGTATCCAGTTACAAATTCGATATTAAAAGGACACATTTTATTCAGTGAGAGTCTGCCCATTTCCTGGGAATCTTTCCACCAGAGTACATGGACTCTGAATCAGGGCCTGACACTCAAGCCATATTCAAATCATATTCCAACAGTAGCATCTTTGCCCTTCATGAAGCTGATCAGCTTAGACAAATATTACAAAGTTTTAGGGTTAACAAGAATATTCATACATTCATTAATAGGTGCCAAGACAAGCCACCCCAGCTGAATTACAACTTTCCTTATTGAACAACAAGTGGCAAAACCAAATTGGGAATTTTTAAAACAAGTTGTCAGATGGGAGATTAAAGATTCGGTTTTAAAAACAAAGTCCAGTTTCCAAAAATCCCTGAGTATGTTCCTCCAAGAAATGTTGTCAGGAAACTGTCTGAGAAGTCAGGGGTGTTTCTGCACACTGTTGGAGGAAGGAGTTAAAAAAAAAATAAGGCATATAAATTAAAAGGAAGTGGCTGCTAAGGATGTAAAAATATTACAGTAAAACTCCAATAGCCCAGCGTCCAGTTGTCCGGCACTCCTGTAAGTCCGGCAACAACTGAAACCCAGAACTACTCAGGTCAGCCGCTCTCACAGCCAGGCCGCTGTGAGCCGCATGTGCGCTCACGGCCCGCACTGTTCCACTCACGGTCCCCAGCGCACACAGTATCCAGCCTGCCCGTGCTAGCAGCCAGCCGCCAGCCGCTGAGCACAGGCAGCTGCTTTGAGACCCGGACATAAGGTTGGGGGAGAAGAGGGACTGGGTGACAGCAGGGAGGGGAGGTGTTTGGCTCTGGGGAAAGGGAGGGGAGGGGGGTTGGGTTGCACATGGTGTCCTGGCCAGCTCATTAAAAAGCTGGGCACTCAACTCATGTGCCCAGCGCCTGGAGGGAGATGCGTGGTTGTACCGGCAGCTCCGGGATCCAAGCATAAGGTGGAGAGGGGGATTGGGTTGGGTGTATGCCCCCTTATAGTACCTCCTGGTACTCCGGCATATCCGATAATCTGGCACCACCTAGGTCCCAAAGGTGCCGGATTATCAGAAGTCTACTGTACTGTGTAAATAATAATGCTTATCAGTTAACATTCACAGTTACATGCAGGCTTCTGCCCCGCTCCTGGGGAGCTGGCTGCCACCCTGAGCAACAGTGCAGGGATGGCAGCCAGCTCCCTGGGAAGCAGGGCTGCAGGCAGGAGCCAGCGCAATTTGGAATCCAGCTTGCATAGGAGGCAGCAGCACAGGGCGATAGGCAGGAGCCAATACACATGATGCATGGAGAAACAGCTTAAAAGGTGGCTCCCTATGCACATTGGTTTCCAGAGAGCCACCTGCCACCCCCTGAGCTGCCTCTGCATCAAAAGCAGCAGCCAGATCCCCAGGAGCAGCGTGCCTGCAGGATCCTGTGCCTGCAGAGTTTTTCAGTAGTTACATGTTTACACGATTATCCGCATTTTAAAATCCATTATGGCTTTTGCCATGTTGCATTTATAAACACTGCACTGCTCAAATTTCCCAATGTATCAGCAACTCACCCCTGCATTTCCCATCATGAAGAAACACTTATAGCTGGTGCTAAAGGTTGGGAGGAGACGGTTTTAAAGAATATGACAAATACAATGGCTTAGTAAAAAGAGGTATCTGAGACCACTGCAATGTATGTGTCTCTTTTTACTAAGCCATTGTATCTGAGACCACTGCAATGTATGTGTAGAACAGAATATGCAGAAACCCCTAGCTATTCAAGAGCCAGAGTGATCCTGACATGTAATGAGTCGTTGCTACTTTAGCATCCTCTCCACAATGTTGGTATTTTTAAAATACTGAGTGTATTGCCAGTGAAAGGTGCTAGATTCACAGCCCTGGAGACCTAGTCATCACTAGAACAAACACAGCAGCAGCCAGAAGAGAAGAAAGATTTCCCAATCCACTACTCTCTCCTACCCAGGTGCTTGAAACCAGGAGGCACGATGACTAAGAGGAGTGGTCTCTATGGTCCATTTTTGTCCTGATTTTAATTCTGCAACTGCTAACAATTAGATTCAACTGTGATTGTTGTCTCTGAGATGGACCTCTGGCTACTGGGATCTAGAGTGAAGTGATCTGATGGTCTCATGTCATGGTAACAATTTTCAGTTACTACTAGGTTGGGGTCAAATCTGAACCAGCGATATATACAAAGATGCACACAAATGCAGTTCAGTGTCTCCAGAGAAGCATGCTCACTTTGTACTGTCATGAATAGCAGCCAGCAAGATCAGCAGCTGAAACTGGTGAACCCAACACGCCCCTACTCCCACCACTTTTCTCAGAATCAGAGCATAGGGATTAACTAAGACACGCAGAAATTCAAAGATCAAGTCATTGTTTCATAACATTTGGATTATGGTTACAAGTTTAAACAGGACAAAAATACCCACTCTGAGGTGCTTTTTTGTTTTGCTTTACATTAAATTGAGGGTGTACTTACATGGGGAAACTGACTGGCATATTTCACTAATGCAATGCATGTTCATTTCTCATGTGGCCAAGCTCTGGGTTAGAAATTCAGCAGAAGGGAAAAAGTATTTGGGAAGCTCAAAGGGAAGTCTGCTTGGAGCCACAACGCATTAACACGCACCTCCTGCCTCAGCCTGGATCACGCCTTTGATGTGATTGGCAGAGAAGACAGGCTGCTCAATGGAGCACCCTTTCACCAAGTAGAACGGCATCATGAAGGACAGCATGGGGTCCTTGCCTTTAGACACAAAGATCACCTGTAAGACAGAGGATGGGACATTTTTAAGTTGCTAATTTACAGTCAGTCTTCAGGCCTAAACATCAGAGAGGCAGTTTCAGGAGCGTTCAGAGCAGAGACTGCTTTAAAAAGCTGGCAAAGAGAAACTAAAGTTCTAGATCAATTACACGTGCAAGTTCCTATTCTACACATAGTTTCCATCCTGAGTGATCCCGAAGAACTTAATCAATGATGTATGTAGGGCTCTCACCTGAAACACATGCAACTTCCATAGTGGCATGCAGCTGACACCATGTAAATGAGAAATATTTTCTTCTCCTCAAATGACTGCATTATTTTTGTGGCAATGCAACATGAAGTTCTATCGCACTAACATGAACTTGAAGTTCCAGGCTGCTTAGACATGTGGTATTTCTGCTCAGATCTAGCAGCCCCTCTGACCAGTAACTTAGGAATTATGATCATTCATAACTAAGGAAAACCAGAGGCAGAGGATAGAAAAACAGAGCCTTGCCTACCATCCCCTTTTTCCTCTCTCATTAAAAAAGGTCTCGGGTCACAAGTTCACTATGTATAACTCACTGCCAAACACAGAAAAGCTGCTGCATTGTATCTTACACAGCTATTACACCCGTCCAGTAGGGATGTAAACAATTATTAACATATTTAACTTGTTAAACTATTAAAATTATACCATTTAACTGGTGCTGTTGCTGGCCTGCCCTATCACTGCCCTCACACAGCCAGCCCGACTCAGCCAGGGCCGCTCCAGCCTGGTTTAATTGGCTGTCCAACCAGTTACCCTTTTACATTCTTATCCTCCAGGGGCTAACTCACTGGTGTGACCAGTGCTTTGGCAGATTCAGTGCAGCATATCTAGTTAAAACTAAAGTCAAAACAAGACATTCAAACCAAAATGAGTTGCCCACCTATATACAAACCAAAAGCTGTGAATTCAGACTAGGTTAGCTCACTTTGCGACAATCTCTAAGAAGCACTGAGTGACGAATCCTAGAGTGATGCTGGCACGTGAACACTAGACATCCAAAGAGATGAGAAATATTTGTGGGCATGCAACATTTTGCTTGGGCCACATCATAAGCCACAGAACTGAAGATATGAAAGATTTACCATCCATCTATCCCTCGAGCCAGTACAGAACTGACCCTTTTAGGAGGTTTTCCAGGACATTCCTAATCCATCTTTTTGGACTATCCTGAAAAGTTTCCCCTAGTCCCATCAAAACACTTGCAGAGGTATCTTTGGAACAGCAGAAGATGGTTTCTTGCCTCCAGCTTTTAAGCTTTCAAATGTTTGAAAGAAACCCTTTTTAGTAATCAGGTTAGGCTACTGTGCCTGCATGATAAGTCTTAGCAGGTCAAAGCCTATGCCCAAATAAACGTACTCTAGGTCCATGTAAAAGTCAACTCGTGTTCCAGTTTAAAAGGCTGTATAGCACCAGCAGACATGAGAATACAGAAGCCAAATTAAACAGCGGTTAGCGTTCAGGACAGAGGTTTTGGGATGTGAAAACAGAGCTTTTTTTAGCTTAAACATGCACACAAACTCTTCTTCCTCTCTCCCCCACCTCCAGCAACAATTCTGAAGGAGACTTTCAAAAGAAGTAGTGGAAGCCCCGCTAACTCACAATGAAAACAGAACAATGTAAAAGACACATGAAAACATGCTGTAGAGAAAACTGACATTGGTCTCAGCTGAGGTAAGGGGCTGCAGAAAAAAGGATAAGCATCACCGATTTCCACCAACTTCTCCCATCTTGAATTTCTAGCTTCCTCACATAACTAGGGGATTTATCCAATAATTTACAAGTTTCCAGGATTAGACGGGTGTGGGAGAATGCTGTTGGTTCAAGACTTACCCTGTAGGGAGTGAGGTATACCATTCCCTTCTTAGTGCCTTTGAAGATTTCAGGCTTGTCAGCCACATCACTGAAGGAAAGCTCCACATCTTTACATTGCTTAAGAATACTGCAGGAGGAGGAAGAGACCATCATCAGCAGGGCTCGACAAACGCACTTGCCCGTGGCGAGTAGATTTTTCCAGCTGGCGGGTGCAGGGGCGGACTGGCCCGGTGGGCCGTTGTGACAGGCTTGCCGAAGCCCGCACTACGGGCAGCGCGGACCCATCCGATCCGCCGGTCGGCGGAGGAGCAGAGCGCCGCTGGGAAGGGGGAAGTGCAGCGATTCTTCCCACCGGGCTGCCTGCATGCAGCTCCGGTGCGAGGAGGCGGGGTGGGATGCCAGGGCGCTGGCATGACATGGCCCCACTGATTTTAAAGGGCCTCGGCAGCTCGGCTCTGGCCGTGTGTCCCTGGGAGCTGGCGGCGGTGCGCGGCACAGCCAGGGCCTGCCCTGCCGGCTCCAGTCCTGCCATGGCCCCAGCCCCCCTGTGTCTCCACGCTGCCTGTTCCCCTTGCCGACCCTGTTCCCCTGCACCCCAGACCCCCTGCTCTCCCTCTTCCCTGCGACCCTTTGGCTCTGTGCTGCCCTTACACCCTGCACCCTGCTCCCCCCGATCCCTGCCCCCCCCAGCTCCATGCTGCTGGTTCCCTGCACTGCCCCTAGACCCCGATCCCTCTGCCCCTCCTGTTCCCCGCGCCTCCACTGCACCCTGCTACCCCCAATCCCTGCATCCCTCTGGCTCTGTGCTCCCCCTGCACCCTGCTCCCCCTGTGGGTCGGGAGTGAAGGGTTCTTGCCCATAGGGAGGGGCTGGACAGGGCAGGGAAAAGGCTGCTGTGACCCAGCAGTGAGTGAAAGGGGGCGTTCACTTGAAGCGCCTTTGCCTTTATGGAAAAAAAATGAAAATGCTATTTGTTATTTATAGGGCTAAAATGCCAGGACAAAAAAGAAAACAAACAAAAAAAACCATTGCAAAATGAAAACGTGTGTAAAAGACGACAACAAAGGGGAGGGGGGGGGAAACGTTTTGCTTGAGACAGCAAAAAACCTAGACCTGGCCCCTGGGGAGAGGAAGGATCTGGGCTGGACTGTGGGGAAGGGAGGGGAGGGGAAAAATATGGGGAAAGGGCTTGTGCTGAGGGAAGGAGGTCAGGAGGAGAAGAAGAAAGGGGAAGGCACCAAGAAACAGGGGTGCAGGAGAGCCAAATGCCAGGGGGCCAAGTGCAGACAATGAGGAAAAGGGCAGGAGGGGAGGTGTCAATGGGAGTGGGGACAGGGTGATGCTGGGAGAGGAGAGGGTAAGGGCACTGGGGGGTTAGAGGGGATGGGGAGGTGCTGGGAGAAGGCTTTGAAAGAAGGGGTGGGCATGAGGAAGGCGGGGATGGAGCAAGGCATCTGTGAGGGCACAGGGGCATGAGGGGGTGAGTATCAAGGAAAAAGAGGGCAAAAGGGGCTGGGGCAGTGAGAGGTACCAGGAGGGTGCAAGTACCAAGGGATTCTGGGAGTGAAGCAGAAGGGCAGACACCTGCAAGGGAGGGACCTGCACCAGAGGAGAGAGGCAGGGCAGGTGTGTAGAGGGAGGTGTTAGGAGAGGGGATGAGGAGGGGTAGCTCATACGATCAGAGTGGGGCTACTGGAGGAGTGGGCACAGGGCAGAGAGAAGGGCTGGCAAAGGGGGGCAGGTCTCATGAAGGCTGAGGACAGTGAGAAGGGCAGGAGTCAGGACAGCAGAGGATGAGGGGTTGGAGGGCAGCAGGCACCAGGGGAGCTGATGGAGCAAGGGGAGGAGACATGGCAGCAGAGAGAAAAGGTAGAGGTTTATAAGATATTTATTATTAACTTATTAGTAATTACTGTTCTTATTCTTATTAGGAATTTATGACATTAAAAAAACACTTTTGGGGGAGGGAGGGTGAGTCCCTTTTTTGTCCTGCGAGTAGGGTTTATCATCATGGATGCAAACAGTCATAAAGCATCATGTTAGTTGGCATGCCAAAAAATAGGTAATTTCCCCAAAACACTCTCTGCTGATATGGATCCCACTTCCTCTCTCTACATTTCCATGCACTGTTTATACTACAGGTTGAACCTCTCTAAAGTGAGACTCTCTAGTCCAGCAACATCTGGACCACGGATCTTCCAGGACCAGAGAGTTCCAGAGGAGGGCTAGTAGCTGGGAGCCCTGCAAGTAGTGTGGCCGCTGCCCAGCAACCAAACCATCCAAGGAACTGAGAAGCAGCAGGGCTGCCGGACAGTGGCAAAAACAAGAGACCAGTGGGACTTGGAGGCAGCAGGACCGCCCCATGAGGCCGGTAGCCTAACAGTGGGGCTTCCTGGCAGCAGGGCCAGGAGTGGGGCTGCCACCCAGCGGCACAGCAAAGAGCCCAGCAGCCCTGCTGCCGACTAGGAGAGCTGCCTGGCAGGGCTGAAGTCCAATGGCAGAGTTTCTGCCTAGCGGTGCAACTGAACTCCATCAGTGGGCCTGCTCCACAAGGCCAGGAGTGGGGCTGTTTGGCGGTGTGGCTGCCTCTGTGGGGCCAGAAGACCTATGCACAGAGGGCTGGCAATAGGGAGGGAACCAGTTGGGCGGCTGTCAACCAGGACATGGCTGAGGGGGACAGTAAGTGTCAGGGGGAGAGAGGGAAATGACCTCCCCCGATCTGGCAAAATCCCTCATCGAGAACTGGTCAAGTCCCAAGGGTGTCGGACCAAGGAAGTCCAACCTGTACTCTCTCAATAAGTACAACACCTAAGCCCACTCTGCCAAGCGAAGTCTCTAGCCTTATCACTGTTTCTCCCTGCTTTTCCAAAGCCATCTAAGACAATTGTTGAGGAAACCATTCATTTTTCATTGAAAGTCAGTACAAAAGGTCATAGCACACAATAAGCTCAATTAACTACAATACTTCTTCCTGGAACAAGCATGTTATCTCAGAGCAAGTCCCTGCTTGACTAATCTAGTAACCCAAACATTGATGCTACCTAGGAAAGCAAGCCCAGTTGTCCCAACTGTATTAAGGAAAATGCTTCTTCATAGCGAGGCTAACTGCAGATGCTGTCACTATTTCATGTAAACAACAGAGGACTATCAGCAAAAAAAAAAAAAAAAAAGTAATAAAGAGAAATGCATTAAGGGATGGAGGAATTGGGGAGACATTGTTCTGGGTGGGGTTCTAAACGTAATGATCTAAAACAGGGAGCCAACACGTCAGTGAAGTTTGCTAAAGACACTACACTGGGAACACTAGCAATGACAGGAAATAATATAGAAGGACTTAAGGATAACAAATGTGAGTAGAAGATAAAGTCAATTTGGGAAACAGGAGGAAGTGATTCAAAAAACAGCTAAAGAAAGAGAAACTGGGGAAGGGGAAATACAGATAGATTTGGAGTAACATGTTTGCAGTGTGTTATGCCAGAAAAAAAAATCTAATGCTTCTATAGGCAGCTCAGAATTGAATCATAGATGGGGCGGTTACATACAGCCTTGATGAGACCAACATTTCTAATGCCCCATTCAATTTCAAGGACCCTGTTACAGAATATTGACAAATTAGGGAACAGCAAAATTATTGGAAGAGAAGAATTAAAGGGACTTGCTTCTGAAGATATAGATAACATTCAGTGGAACTACGTAAGGGAGACAGAGGATAATAATCCTCAAGTACCAGAAAGGTCAGAGGGAAGGAAACCTATAGTACTGAAAATGTAATATTCTAGGCACACTCCTGCAAGGCTGGGAGAGATGGACTGAATGACCTCATAGGTTATCTCCAATTCTAAAATGCTATGGGGAGACATTTCAGTTCTAATCAGTTCTGAATCCCACCAAACCCTGCCTCAGAAATATTCCATGGCAGCAAAGTTCATAAGTCACTTTTACACCATGTAACTTAAAATGTGTCTTTTCCCAAGAGCTTATCTTAATCAAACTTTAGACATAGGTAGGTAAAACAGCACTTAAAACTTTTAGTATACCAGTGCAGTGGTAATTACATTATTTGTTCAACAGCTTTAATTTTGCTTATAAAGTACAGAACTATCACAGGGCAGGATGGCCCCTTAAGGCAAATTGGCTTCACCCCACTGATGAGGTAGCTTTATCCCAGGTAATGGGATTAAGGTCAGAGACGAAGTGATGTCTGACAGGCTCTTACTTAAGAGGCCAAGCAGCTGCTTAGTTGGGAGACACCTGCATGGAGCAAGTTTGGGAGATGGTCTAGAAAGGGGCTAGGGAGCAGGAGTTGGTTTATCTAGTTTATGGAGGAAATTTTGGTTTTGAGATGCAAACCCTCCTCTGAACAAGAGGATTGAAATTCTGCTGCTGTTGGGAATTTACATACTGTCCAGCAAGATGGACCAACAGCATACAAGGAAAACTACAGCATTTGGTCATATAACATTTGCCAAATACTACTTGGTAAGTTTCACAATATTACACACTACAGGCAGTCCCCGGGTTACGTACAAGATAGGGACTGTAGGTTTGTTCTTAAGTTGAATTTGTATGTAAGTCGGAACTGGTACATATTGTAGGGGAAACTCTAGCCAAACATTTCTCCAGAGCTCAGTTTTATTCTCCCACACCTCACTTCCCTCAGGGTATTATTCTCAAACTGAGGTGTCTGCTGAGAAAAGCTGCTCCGCATCTCCCTGGTCTGCTGGGGG